ATTCCTCATCTAAGGTTGAACAAAAGTTGGCTTCCTTTTTTTAGTTTATACCTACTGGCTCTAGCCCTGTCTCTAGGATTCACAGGATAAGAATATTTCTTCTTTCTGTGACAGTTTTTCAGATATTTAAAGACAGAGATCATCAAGCATCTCCAGTGTCTTCATTTATAATTTAATTAACACGATTCCCAGCTCTCTTTCCATTTTCTTCCCCTGCCTGTGTTAGTCAAGGACCCTTTAAAATGACAGATCTGACAACCAGCAGGTGAAGCAGACAGGAACTAGTTACCGCTGGAAAGTGGTGACTTTTCTAGATTCTTCTGCATTCTTTGACTAATGTTCTACAGAGTGAAACCAAGCCAGCACCTAAACTCAGTCCCAAGCCTTCCCCTCCCAAGTTGCTATCAAAGCATGTCATTGTGACCTCGATTTGTGCACTGGTACTTTGAATAAGATGGCACAATTTTTGAAACACCTGTTGAAGTAACATCTGGTTGGGTTTGAGCCCATGTACCTGCGTGTCAACACAGCTTCTGACCTGTGGCTTCTGCCATCCCACTCCTTAGCTTCTCCCCCAGCCTCAAGCCATTTGGATGGGATAGACAGGCTCCAGGGGACAAAATGTAATAACACTTGGTCAACATTTTGGACTGGGTAAAACAGAGGTCCACATTTAGGACTATATCATCTATTAATCATATTCCAAATTTATTCAACCAGCTACATATCTACTGAATGATATTATCACGAGGCCTCACATCTCTGTAATTGATTCACAACGATATTACAGGAAACTCCACCAAAGACATTGCTAAAATTGGTAGGCAGCCTACTCTCCTGCATCTCCTGAATTCTCCATTGTGGTCCTCTCACCGATCAGCTTGGCTAATGTAGCTTCTTCTTAGTGAGTCTAAGTTGGCCCTGGGGAAAGTGTTTCTCTGTAGGGGTCACACTCCCTCTATGACACAGTTTGTCCCAATTTTCTTGGGAACACTGCACTTTTTGAAAATCAGAACCAGCCTTCTTTCCAAAAGATATTAAATAGACAAGGATGGGGCAAAGGAGACCAAGATTAAACTTGATAGGAATGACTTAGAATAATTCTCTGAGCAGACATTGTGCTAAGAATTCTAAAAATGACATGATGTCACTTGCAAAATTATTAATCATTTGTTATATATATTTGATAATTTTTCTTTGTTGACCTGGAGGCAGAGGTATGGATGAGGATGCAGAATAGCAACGGGATTGCTGTCGAGAAGGAACCAAAGCCTGGGTTTTATCGGTGGCCCTACTGCTGCACACCAGTTTGATTGGCATGTTATTCTGTGATAGTCTTTTTCTCTCTGAGGCTTCAAAGGCGGGTGGGAAAACATTCCAACCCCATCTGATGGAGTCATTGTGAGGACTGGGGTGAATGTAGCATTGCAAGAGTAAGAGGCGATTAGTAGGACTTCTGGAAGAGGTCAGGTATCCTAATGGAATCCATGGCTGTCAGGCCCGTGACTGCAGCTGCAAGTGCTGTGAGATGTTGGAAGCACAAGCTATTTGGGGTTGATCATATTCTCTAATTGGGTGTCACCTTTCATGAGCCAAGCAGCTGCCAAAACTGATTGCCTCTGATTTAATTTCTTGGAACTGATCAGCGTATTGTTTTGTTAACAACTATCTGCGGTTCAAGAAGTCTTCCAAGTGGTACACTTGAAGTATAACAGCTGGCTAGGGGGCTGTCTTGTGGTAGCTCAAATGGGACTTATGCGTTATTCCTTTGTTGTGCACAAATGTGGTAACAAGCTTGGAAAGGGGGTTTGGTGATCCCCCACTGTCTCCCGTGCTCAGCAATTTTAGCATTTCAATTAGGAAAATACAACCTTGGTTCTTTTTACACCATTCTGCCTCTTGTTCATAAATTAATTAGGAGACACAGAGCCAAGGAAGAGAGTGAATCCATAATTGAAAGAGGGATCTGTCTGAAATATATAGATCCACTATATCCATGATATATCTATACATGATAGAAACTGAACACATGACAGAACATCACCTGCATAGGAGAAATCTATTCAGTGGCATCCATATTTCTGTCCATCCATCCATTCACCCATCCATCCATCAATCCATCTATCCATCCATCCATTAATTCATCTACCCATCCATATAACTATCCATCCAGCCATTCAACTATATTCATTCATCTATCCACCCATCCATCTATCCAATTATCTATCCATCCAACTATCCATCTCTCCATCCATCCATCTATTCATCCATCCATCTATCCATCCAACTATCCATCCACCCACCCATCCATCTTTCCATCCAGATAACAAATATTTAAGATGTGCAAGACACTTAATAAAACCTAAGTTTTGCTTAGGATTTCATATATATATATACCATGGATTAGTATATGAGATAACTCATATATATTTTATGGTAAAAAATATTTTGCAAAATTAGAAAAGTTTGCTTCCAGTTCAATGGAACTAGGGAGACATTTGAACTGAATGAAGAAAGTTGGATAAGATTTAAAGGCATGAAGATGGGGGATTAGGTCTTTCTGTTAGAGGGAATAACCAACAGGAAAGGAATGGACGTGAACTGTGGGAACTGCTTGGGAACAACTCTGTTGAGGTTTGTGGGAGAAAAATAAGAGAGAAGCTGGAAAAGCAGCCTAGGACAGATGGTGAAGGGTCTAGAATTTTAGGATATGGATTTTTATACTTCATTCAGGAAGAAGTGGGAATCATTGAGGATTTTGAAGTATTGTAGTAATGTAAATAGAACCGTGCTTCAGAAAGAGCAGCCCTTTTTACCAGAGTAAAAAGTTGAAAGCAATATGTCAGGGCCTTGCCCCTAAATTCTTCCTTCTGGCTTCCACACAACAGTTGTCACTGTCAATGGCAGAGGAGGTGAATCCATTTAACCTTAAAGAAGGAAGGTGGATGTAGTGAATCTGTGGGTTCCAGCCAGATCCATCTTTCAGGACTATGGCAATCATCTGCTCATGCCTGGAGTGTTGCTGCAGATGGCCACCATCACATCCTTTCCTCTCTGGGCATTGCTTTCAGCCAGTGAGATTGCCTCCCCCAAGACTCTCTCCTTCAGTGACTAATTGATGGAGGGGGAACAAGGTCCAGCCTTCTTGCTTCAATTTGGGGGCAACTTTGAAGGTCTCTCTAACTCCCAACCTCCCTGCAGCATCATCTGAGCCTTCTGCGTTCCCTGGTGTGTACTCCCAACAAACTTCTGGCACAACTGCTTCATCTCAGAGTCTATTTCCAGGATCCTGAGCACAAGCAATGTATCCCTCTGCAATTGCCCTGTAGGGTGGAGGATTGTATCCTCTCTCTAAGTAGAGAGACAAGGGGGTAGTGTTGCTCTACACCTAAGAGAATCCTTTCATGAGCACATGGTTTTCTCCTGGGTTTTGAGAGTCTCTGAGCCTTTCTAGGCTCTGTCTCCAAAATGTCTTTCATGGGGTATTCATGGAAGTATGGGGTATTCATTGGGGTATTTATTGAAAAAAATCATGGTTAAACAAGTACTCAGTATCTCGGAGGTTATAACTATTTGTGCCCAGATGGATTTGATAACAGGATCTTTTTCTCAAAAAATAAGTCAAGGATTAAGGAACTGTTGCTCTGGGCCTTTGAGGAGTTGTTTGGGACTGACACATTCATTAGTGAAGGGCAAGGCCAACGTTCACTTGGGATACTGGTTTTAAAGCTGGGGTTGAAAACTCTTGTAGCTTAGAGCTCACTCAGTAAACAATGAGGCGAGCAAGTGGGGACCTCGAGGGTCTGGAAATAAGGTACAAGTCTGCCCAAAGGGGACTGCTTCTCCGCAGCTCCAGGTAGACTGCTGCTGCCCAGGGAGCACTGACCCTGTGGACACAGCTGAGATTTTTGCAAGATCTCTGTGTTTTTTAAATTTAAATCTCTTGAGTTTTAATTCAATTTTTAGAAAATACCATGCCCATGAAGCACAAGATATCTGTGAGCTGGATGTGGCCTGTGGGCTGTGGTTGTCTGTCTCTGTTTTAAACCACTGTACTTGGTGGAGAGAGTGCCTGAGGCCAGAAACATGGAGGACATTTGTGTGTTCATCTCTAGAGGGGATTTTGCTGGATAATGGGCCACCAGGAGGCAGGGTGGGCTGGGGTGATGGGGAACGTCACTGAGCCTCTGCCTATGTGGTCTGAAGAGCAGACAGACGGGAAACATGTTTCTAAATGTGTATTGGCCACTTGCCTTGGTGAGGACTGGGGAAATGTGCTGTTTTTTTTTTTTAAATCTTATTTGCAAATTTACTTATTCCTTAAATTCCTTCTTAAAACATGACTTTATGTTATTTAATCTTTATGAAATCCTTCAAGGATTCCCAACTGTACACAAGATAGCAGTTGGCAGTTAAATCCCTCCATATTAAGACTGCACTTTCAATTCATTCATTCATTCAGGTGTGAATTCTTTTATTTGACACATCTACAAATAATTAAGCAGATAATTATTGAATGTGGTTTTATACAGGTGCTGCCAGGGACACAAAAAAATGAGTAAGATACTATCTTTGCCTTCCAGGCACTCGGGTGTCAAAAGGGTAAGATGGGATGATCTCACATTTATGGATCACCTTCTAAGCACCTGATACTATTCATAGTAGATTTTTTTAGACTTTATTTTATAATGTCCCTATTAGCCTACCTAAGGAGCAGCTATTATTTCTGACCTCAGTTGAGGGAAAGTGTGGAGGCACATGTTGCTTTGGTACTTTGCCCAAGATCAGAGCGTTACAGGCACTGGAGCTGGACAGCAGCCTGGTGTACACCTTCCTGACAGTCACTCCGCCTGGCCACCTGTACCCTGTGGGGGAACGCTGGGTGCCTCTGAGCTCTGGTGGAGAGCAGGGCAGAGGCAGCAGATGCTGGACAATGAGGAGATACCTGGGTCTGACAGGTGGAGAGAGGTACTTGTTATGAAAGGGTCTCAGGCAAAGGCTGTGAGCAAAAGCTTCATGGTGTAGAGGTTGGAGTGGAGCAAAGGGAGGCCATGCTGGGCAGCTGGACAGTGCCGGGGACAGCGGAGACAGCTTCCATCAGAGACGGTCAGGGCAGAGGACAATTTGACCTCCTCAGATTCTGCAGAGGAAGAAACAGAAGGATGCAAAAAGTTCTACTCTCCTTGGAGATGTGATAGTGTTCATCCTCTTTAGAGAGGAAGCAAACACAAATCACAATGAAATGCCACTTTCCCACATCAGATTAACAAAGATCAAAAGCTTAATACTACTTAGTGTTGGCCAGGGCTCTCCTATGGTACAATATTGATGAAGAGAGTCAATTGGGAAAGCCATTCTGAGTGCAGGTTGGTAGTATGTATGTATTCACATTTCAAACACATGTGCCTTTTGAAAAATCCCCTTAGGATACAGGCATACATTTGGCACCAAGTGTGCACGTGTGCGTGCACGCGCGAGGGCACACACATACACACACACACACACACACGAAAGTGTGAGGCACTTTTAGAAACAGGAAATTAGAAGTGCTCTTCACCAGTAGACAGGTAAACAAATAGGGAATAAGCAGGGAATGCTGTACATTGTCACCCTTAAAACCCAAGTACTGCCCTTGGCCTCCAAGGCCCCTCTTCTGCCTCATTCCCAAACACCCCTCCTCTTGTCCCTGCTCCAGCCCAGGGGCTCTGGCAGCTCTTCACCCAGACCAGGGCAGCTCAGCCCTCAGGCCCTTTGCTCTTGCTGTCTCTCCCTCTTGGAAGATTCTTTCCTCGGATATTAGCATAACTCACTCTTCCCTTCTTGATGTCTCCGTTCAAATACCAGCCTATGGCAGGCAGTTTCTAAAATAGCCCTCCATGATCCACCACTCTGGTGTTTCCAGTAGTGTGGTTGGGTCTGGTGACTTGTTACAATGAACAGATTATAAGAAAACTGAGGGATGTCACTTCATTGTTGAGAGCCACAGCCATAGGGGGCCCCCAGCAAACTTCCAGCTGATTGGCTCACCATGGCCCTAGCAAACTTCCAGCTGCCAGCTGATTGGCTCCTCTGTAGTGATGCTCATTGGGCTGTTTCCCTGCCCTTTCAGACCACGGAGCTGCTCATTGGGGGACTCTTTTGGCTCCGCCCGTGTGGCCCAGCCAATCAGCCTCAAGAGCTGGAGGAGTGGGGGTTGAGAGGCTCACCGGAAGTCAGTGATGGCAGTTGGGCTCTGAGGGAATTCCTGAAGAGCTAGCATGATGTGTGTTCTAAAAATAAATATAAACCCCTTTCCCCTAATTTCTTTCTGTGACTAATGAAGCCAGCTGCCATGTTGTGGGTGCCCCACTGAGGGGCCAAAGAGGTGGGGAACTGAGGGTTGCATCTAGGCAGGTGTCAATGAGGAAGCCTGTGGGAAACCAATTCTTTTTTTGGGGGGCTGGGGAATGAATTTAGGGCACTCAACCACTGAGCCACATTCGCAGCAGTATCTTGTATTTTATTTAGAGACAGGGTCTCACTGAGTTTCTTAGTGCCTTGTTTTTGCTGAGGCTGGCTTTGAGCTTGCGATCTTCCTGCCTCAGCCTCCCGAGCTGCTGGGATTACAGATGTGTGCCAACACGTCAGGCTACCAATCCTTGACAACAACCACCTGAGCTCAGAAGCAAGTGACCCCCACCCTAGGCCAGCCTTCAGATAGACCTGGCTGAGTACTTGGCTGTAGCCTGTGAATGACCTTGACTTAGAAGGGGCAGCTAAACCACTCCCAGATCTCACTCCTACAGCAACTCTGAGATAACAAATATCCTTGTTTTTAGACTTTTAAGTCTGGGGCAGTCTGTTACTCAGCAGTGATCACTGACACAGAACCCTTGGGAGAACCTTCCATGACTACTTAACCTGAAACAGGATTCCTCATTGCACAATGTCCCTTAACCTGCTCTTCTTCTTTCACAGCATCTCTTGGATACCATTCAGTACGTTTATCTGTTTGTATATTTTTTTGTAGATTTCTTTCTCTCAAATAAAATGTGAAGTGTCACAAGTAAAAAATCTTTGTGTTATTTATCATTGTGTTCCCTGGTGCCCAGAACAGTGTCTGACATGGTGTTTAACAAATATTCGTGAATGAAAGAATAACCCAAACTTTAAAGGAATGAGGCAACCATGGAAATCAAAGCATAGAAAAGGCTTCTGAGGTGTAACGTTATGAGGGGGGGGGTGCGGTTTACAAGGCAATCCATTTATAGCGTGATTCCCCCCTTTCAATATCTAAAAGTTTGGATAGGAATCGGAAAACATTGAAAAGGATACGTATGGAAGTGTGAAGAGTGGTGTTTCTAAAAGACGAGATTGTGGGGCTACACTTTCATGTTAAACATTTCTATAATTTTTAAATGTTTTATAACAATCACTCTAGAATCATAAAAACTCAATGAAGACATCTTGGAGAATGTGTAAGGTCAAGTAGACACGCTTTGGTCTTCTTGTGTCTCGTGCACAGGGTTCTGCCTCTGCCGCTGTCCTGGATCCAGCATCCTTGGGGGTGTCTCCTGACGGTGGCCAGAAGCAATCTCCCTGCACCTCTCCCAGCCAGACTTGGGTCTCCAACAGGCACACGGAAGAGCTTGTCTCTCCCACATGACAGACTGTCAGAAACCTAGCATGTTTTCTGTGAACATTTCTTGGCAATAATTACAGAATAGGAAATAGGGGGTTGAAAAGAAGTAAAAAGATAGTACAGCCAAAATAACTGCTTTTGCTGTTCAGCCTGAGGGGAGCAAGTCCACTGAGGAGCTGACAGATGGAGCCCAGGGCCCTCCTCTCTGCTTTGAGGGGGTGAGGTGGGGTGGGTGAAGTTCTCATGGGAACCCAAGGGCTGGGATGTGGGGAAGGCTCTGCTGAGCCCCTGGGCATATATATAGAAGTTTTCTTGTCTAGGCTGGGAGTCAGGGTAGAGAGGTCCCCAGGGCTATGGACCTAAAGCTTTAGGGTTTCTAGAAAGAGAAGGAGAGGCAGCCTTGTTTCTTCTCCCAGACAACTTGACTTGGGAAGCTTTTCATTCTCCCACTAGGATATCAGCGCTGTGCTCTCTGACATGATATCCCACATGCTCTTAAGGTTGTGTGCATTGGCCTGAATGGAAGGTAAGTGAGGAACCGGAGATAGGTGAGTGAGAAATGCAAGACAGAGACCAGGCAGAGAGACACAGGAGAGTTTATTTGTCAGAGCTGACAAATAAAGGCACATCTCTCCATAGATGGAGAGAGGTAAAACAGGCTTGGGGTTCGGGACTTTTATGGGGGATTAGAGCTGGGTGAGTCCTAATGCAGTGGTTAAGTGTTGGTTTGAGGGAGTGGTGATACGCCCTTGGACAGGAAAGAATGTAGGTGGTGAAGGGTTGGGTTGGTAGGAGGGAGTGGTGAGCCTTTCTCCGAAATGCCCTTGGACAGGAAAGAGAAATTTTTCTTAAAATGGCAGCTGTCGCTTAAGATGGCTGTCCAGATACTAAGCAAGGACCTTACAGCATGGACCCATGTTTTCCCATCCCGTGGTAGCCTCAGGGCCAGGTAGGTGCTCAGGCAGTGCGACTGACCGAATGAGTGGCCACCTTCACATTCATGTTTGTCGTTTTCACAGTATGCTCAGGTTGGGTGTGGTGGCACATTCCTATAACCTCAGTGACTAGGGATCCTGAAGCAGGAGGATCACAAATTTGAGGCCAGTCTCAGCAGTTAGCGAGGCCCTAAGCAACTCAGTGACACCCTGTCTCAAATAAAAATTTAAAAGACGCGAGGAAAGTGGCTCAGTGTTGGGTCACCCCTGGGTTCAATCCCCATATAAACAAATAAACGTAAAATAAAGTGTGCTTAGTCGTGGGCTGATGGCTACAGAGTGATGTAGGATTGTAGCCCTGTTCTATCTACAGTCTATATGGCCCATGAATGTGATTTCTCATTCTTTCAATTTTCTTTCCATAATTTAAAGGAGATCTTAGGCATTATTTCTGCTATGATTTGAATGTGTCCCCTGAAGTTTATGTGTTGGAAACTTAATCCCCGATAGAACAGCATCGTATTGGACCTCTGAGAGGTGATTGTCTCGAGGGCTGTAATTCACAAGTGGATACATACTACCATGGAGGAGCAGGTGTGTTGTGTTGATGGACTTTGTATAAAAGTGCGTTTGGCCCTCTGTCACCCTCTCACCTCTGCCATGGGATGCTGCAACAAGATGGCCCTTACCAGATATCAGCACCTTGGTAATGGACTTCTCAGCCTCCCGAACTACAAGGAATATATTTCTGAATTATAAGAAAAATACCCAGCCTGTGGTATCCTGTGATAGCAGCACAGAATAGACTGAAACACACACAATGTTTCAATAAATACACACACAAAATGCTTCTGAACCTACCTCTTGAATTTCATGAATATTCTATTTTGTCATAGTCACTTCATTTTTTTTGAGAAATAAATTTAGAAAGAAAATCAAAGTGTCCTTTATTTTTCACTTCTCTTCGTTCCTTCATTCTGAGAGATAAATATTATTCTGAAGTTGGTGTGTATCCTTCCCATCCATGTTTCATGATTTTTATGTATGTGCATATATACATAAAAATAAAATATCACATATAGTATAGTATATATCACATCATATATTTGATACTAATATCATATTGTTTGATATTCTATAACTCAGAGTTGTGTTTTCCAAATTGATTCGTGGAAACCTAACTAAATTTTATTGACTTCTATGAGGATGTCATCATTTGTCCATTTCTTCCCATCTGTGCATAGTATTTCCCATTTCTCCATTTTCATTCTATTATTATTATTAATTAATGGATTTTTTTAAAAAATGACAGCGGAATGCATTACAATTCTTATTACACATATATACAGCACAACTTTTCATATCTCTGGTTGTATATAAAGTATGTTGACACCAATTTTTGTCTTCATACATGTATTTTGGATAATGAGTTTTTATCAGACTTCAAATTATCAATATGATATGAAATGATATCTCATTTTAATTTGCGTTTTCTTCATTACTAATGAGGTTGGACATCTTTCCAGGCATTTTTATTTTCAATTTAGATTTTTTTTTTTAACCAATTACTTGTTCTTACACTGTGGTAAATTGTTTGCTAAAAGGGCCACAGTAATAAATTCTCTTCCCTGAATCCAGACCCTGGGGTATTTCCTATTATACTGGGCTTAGACATGTGACTTGCTTTGGTGAATGAAAGAAGACAATGTGTGATTGAAAACAACTCATGAAACTTGAAAAGTTTCTGTGTGTATTGCTGTGTACTATTTCTTGTTACTCTGCCACCAGCATCAGGTGAGCCAGCCAGTTGGATGATGGGACCTCACATGGCCTAGTGGTCTCCATCAGTTCTGTCAAAAGCCAGTTGTCAAACATAGGAGTGAGCTATTGATGGGTTGAGGGAAAACAGGGAAGTGAGTCCAGCTCTCCCCCAACCCACAAAGAAGAGAGCTCTTCTGTCTGAATCCATCCCAGATTGCCAAGTGGATATCTGTCTCTAGGTTCTTAAGCGTTGGGTGGTTTGTTGTGCAGATGTAGCTCATTCCCCCTTTTTGTTTCTGTGCTTTTCTTATTATTAGCTCTTCTTTAATATGACATTTCTCACATAACTCTGTGAGCACATTTAGGAGGCGGACGTTATCATTACACTGCCATCTTGGAACTGAAGAAACTAGGAAGAAAGAGGTTTGGTGACTTATTAAAGAGCATACAACTAGGAAGCTGGAAGTTCATAACTGACATGAGAGCCCAGGATCTTAGGCCACTTCACTTCCCTGCTACTCTCACATGTTGAATTCAGTTTCTGAGTCCATGGGAAACCTTCAGGGCCAGGCATGATGCACATCTCCTCCCACACTTTTTACA